TTGGGACCCGCTCGGGCGGTATAGGCTGGTCGGGAAGGGCACCCGGAATTGAGAACATGCATTTCTCGTCGACAGGAGCGCCCGGACCGAATTTATTTACGGGGGGGGGCTTCATTATGAGACTTTTCGAGAAGGTCTATATATATGTGTGTGTATGTACATGTATATGTATACGTTTATGTAGATGTATATGTATGTGTATCTGTATATGCATATGCATATGTATGTATGTATATATACGCGCATGCAAGTATAATATATAGACAAAGATATAGATATACAGATTCGAATAAATCCGCCTGAAGCCTGGCGGGTTGCGGGGGACCCCCGGTCCCCAGAGTCGCCAGAGAGCCCCGAAACAGCACCGGCGGTCCCCCGGAGGGCCCCGAAACAGCACCAGAGCTCCCCAGAAAAGCCCCGAGATGACCCAAGGAGGCCCCGAGGCGACCAAAGACAGCCCCGAGATGGCCCAAGACCGCCCTCAGACGGCCCAAGATGCTTCCAAGACGGCCCCGTAGGCCACCAAGACGCCCCGGGACGGCTCCGAGGGGACACCCTAAATGGCCCCCAAAGGCCGAAATCGTAGATTTCTTTTGGTTATCCTGCGGATTCTAAGATTCTCGCGCTCTCAACCGTCTGGACCCCCAAGACGGCCCAAGACCTCCAGGATCGCCCCGTGACGGCCCAAGAGGAGCCCAAGAGAGCCCCAAGACAGCCCAGGAGGGGCCCAAGGGGTGCCCAAGAGACCCCGAAGACGGCTCAATAGAACACCAAGAGGCCCCCAAGACGGCCCAACAAGCCCCTCAGAGACCCCCAAGACAGGTCAAGAGGGCCCCGAGCCTGCCCACGAGGGCCCCAAGACGGCCAAAGATGCTGACAAGACGGCCCCAGAGGGCCTCAGACGCCCCAAAGGAGCCCCAGGAGGACCCCCAAGCGGGCTTGAAGAGGCGAAAATCAAGATTTCACGTTGGTCGTCGATCGCACACCGCAGCTTGCTGGCAATTGCGCGCCAGAGACAAAAACGCGCGTCGGCAAACCTTCACGCAGCCCCGTGGATTTAATCCACGGGTCCACTATATATATATATATATATATATATACACATATATATATACATATATATATATATATACACATATACTTCTACATTATATATATATACACACACATATTTGGGCCCGACCCCAGACAGGGCCACCCCCTTCCCCCCGAACGAATTTCGGACTCCCCAGGCTGCAGGGGAGCCCCCCCCAAAAAAACTGGACCATCTAGATCTGGAGCTTTGGGCCCCCCTGGAAGCCCTTGGAAGAGGCCCCCCAGCCCTGCCGCGCGCCTCCCAGGCGCCTTGCCGGGTCTTGCCAGCAATCTCAAGGCGATCAGAGAAGTGGTCGGAGAGGCGCAGGAGAGCCCCACGGCAGCAATAGATGGCCTGAAGACGGCCCAGGAGGCCCCCAAGACGGCCCCAGAGGCCCTAAAGACGCCGCAAGAGGCATTCAGGAGAGCCCCCAAGCGACAAAAATCGTTCCATTCCTTCGGCGAAACGTATATGTTTAGCATATTTGCTGTTTGTGCCGTGGCAGCGTCCAGGACGGCCTAAGAAGCTTGCGAAATCGCCCCAAGGCGGTCCAAGAGGCCCCCAAGAGGGCTCCAAGCTGGGCCGAGAGGACCCCAAGACGGCCCGAAAGAAGCTCACGAGGCCCACAAAGGCTCCCAACAGAGACCCACGAGAGCGATGGAAGGTCCCCAAGAGGGCCCAAGTTCCCCAGGAGAGCCCACGGCAGCGCAAGATGGCTTCAAGACGGCCCAAGAGGCCCCCAAGACGGCCCAAGAAAGATGCCCCAAAGACGCTCCAAGAGGCCTTAAGTAGAGCCCCCAAGAGGCAGTAATCGCCCCATTCCCGGAGGACAACGCAGATGTTTAGCATCTTCGGTTGTTGTGTCGTAGCAGCGTCCAAGACGGCCCAAGAAGGCTGTGAACTCGCCCCAAGGCGGCCCAAGAGGGCTTCAAGCCGGGCCAAGAGGACCCCAAGACAGCCCCAAAAACGGCCCAGAAGAAGTTCACGAGGCCCACAGAGGCTCCCAAGAGAGATCCATGAGGGCCATGGGAGGTCCCCAAGAGGGCCCCAGTGTTCCAGAAGAGCCCCACGGCAGCGCAAGACGGCCCCAAGACGGCCCAAGAGGCCCCAAAGACGCCCCAGGTGGCCTTCAGGAGAGCCCAAGAGGCAAACATCGTCCCATTCACAAAGGAATCCGTGCATGTTTCGCAGCTTCGATTGTTGTGTCGTAGCAGCGTCCAAGACGGCCCGAGAAGGCTGCGAACTCGCCCCAAGGCGGCCCAAGAGGCCCCCAAGAGGGCTCCAAGCTGGGCCAAGAGAACTTTAAGACTGCCCCAAGACGGCCCGAAAGAAGCTCACGAGGCCCACAAAGGCTCCCAAGAGAGACCCACGAGGGCGATGGGAGGTCCCCAAGAGGGCCCCAGTTTTCCAGAAGGCCCCAGGACGGCCCAAGAGGGACCCAAGACGGCCCACACAGGCTTCACAAGGACCCCCAATACGGGCCAAAAAGGCCGCCCAGGAGGCTTCCAGAGGTCCCCAAAGTCCTCGAGAGGCATTCGTGAGGCTCCCAAGAGGTTCTCCAACGAAGAGCCTCCGCAAAAAGACTTGCTGCAGACGGAAAATGGTTCGCAATGGCGACGAGCGAGCCCGTGTGGTGGACACGCGAAGGACCCCGAACGTCATTCCTTTGCACGATCGTGCGTCGTCCAGAAGGCGTCCCCTACGAAGTTCACCCAATTGACCCGAATCCGGGGTTCGCAGCAAACTTCCCTTGACATCCGTGGCCAACCCGGGATTCGGTGTATTCCCAAAGAGGAGGAGGAGGAGGAGGAGGAGGAGGAGGAGGAGGCGGATGAGGAGGAGGACCAAGGTGCATGGCGCGAAGCGCCAATGCAGCCTTGTATATATATATAGATATATATATACACATACACACATACATACATACATACATACATACATACATACATACATACATACATACATTCATTCATTCATTCAGACATACATACACATACACACATACACACATACACACATACACACATACACATACACACAAGCATACATACATACATACATACATACATGCATGCATGCATGCATGCATGCATACATACAGACAGACAGACAGACAGACAGACAGGCAGGCAGACAGACAGACAAACAGACAGATAAATACATACATACATACACACATACATACATATAAACAGACATACAAACATACATACATACGTACGTACGTACATACATACATACATATGTGCTTTTTACAGGGCCGGGGATCCTGGTCAGGCACGCCCCCCCCCCCCCCGAACGAATTTCGGATTCCCCGGGCTGCTCGGAAGCCACCCTCGGGCTGCTCGGACGCCTTTGCAGCTGATTCCCCAACGCCCCCTTTGCTATCCCCACGTTTCGCCGGACACGATGTCATCCCTCCCCCTCCTCCCTATCATCAGCATCATCATCATCATCGTCGTCATCATTATCATCAGCAGCAGCATCATCATCGTCATCATCATCACGATCCTCATTATCATCATCAACGTTGTCATCTGCATCATCATCAGCAGCATCATCTTCATAATCAGCCTCAGCTTCAGCATCATCATCAGCATCATCAACATCATCAACATCATCGCCATCACCACCACCACCATCATCATCATAATCATCATCATCAGCATCAGCATCAGCATCATCAGCATCATCAGCATCATCGCCATCACCATCACCACCACCACCACCAGCATCATCAGCATCATCGCCACCACCACCACCATCACCATCATCATCATCATCATCACCATCATCATCATCATCATCATCATCAGCAGCATCAGCATCATCGCCATCACCATCACCACCACCACCATCAGCATCACCAGCAGCATGATCATCATCATCACCATCACCATCATCCTACTGCACGTCTCCTCCTCCGCCTCTGTTCCAGGGGTGCCCAGATCCTCCCGAACGGCCGCGGGAGCCCCGGGCCAGGGCCCGCGAGCCAGGCCCCCAGGGACAGGGCCCCCCTCGATCCGAGCGATCCGCTTCGGCATCGGCTCCTGCCGGGCCCGCTCCGATTCGATTCCGATCTCGGTTCTGGACGCCCGAAATGGGTACGGAAAGAATGGGTACGATGCCCAACAACAATTCCTGTTCATTTTGAACAGGATTCGCTGTCCACGCCGCCGCGGCCTGTGTCCATTCGAGACAGAAGGCCGCCTGCCCAACAGCGGCCCCTGTTGGCTTGGGACAACATTTGTTGTTGGGCATAGTGCCCATTCTTTCCGTACCAATGTCGGGCGTCCAAATCGGTGCTCTTGCGATCCGACGCGGCCCGATACTTGCACGGCTTTGTCGCGCACCCTCGCGCACCAGATGCGCTTCGGTTGCGGCTCCGTGCCGATGCCGCCCGGATCGGGCGCACGCCTCAATCCGATCCGACGTGCGGGCTCGAGGCCGCCTGGTCCTGCCATGGATCCCAAGAGGGGTCGGCTGATTTTTGACTGGAACAAAGACGGGAGATTCGACGAACACGACGTGGCGCAGTTCATGGATTGGGTCGAGCGCGCCGGCCACATCCAGCTGTTCACCCCTAGGCTGGCGAAGGGAAAACATAAGGAAGGCTCCACCTCCGAAGGCCAACAGCCTTCGTTCATGGCAGAAGTTGGATCTTCTGTACACGGACCAGCAGAGGAGGACGAGATTGCGGCCAATCTGAAATTTAGTAAACCATGGTGTGTCATTCTCCTAGTACTTATATACAACGCCTTCTGGGTCTACTGGGCTTGGTACCAGATGGCGTATGAGGACAAGTTCTCTGCCACTCGCTACACTGATGAGATGACTATGGCCCATCAGTTTCCTGACGACGGAAACACCTACTCGTTCCTGAACGGGGAGAAAGCACAGGTCGACTACTGTGAGTGGGTGTGCAATGACTATGAAAGTTGCGTGGGCATCTATCCAGCTGCCTGCGGCAAGTCCGTCCCGCTACCGTGCCAGCCCAGCATTATGGGTGGCGACTGTTCGAGAGGGAATGGGGGGCCGTCACGTGCGACACCTCGTGTCTACAGGCTTGGGAGAACTGTGATGAGAATGATGATTATGAGGATGATTGGGATGATGACGATTATTATCGGTGGTGATGATGCTGCTGATTCTGAAGATGCTGGTGGTCATGGTGACGTTGATGCTGATGTTGAGAATGGGTGATGATGATGATGATGATGATGATGATGATGATGTTGATGGTGTTGCTACTGATGATGATGATGGTGATGATGATGATGATGATGATGATGATGATGATGATGATGATGATGAACTTCGTTTGGTTCGTATTGGGGCTGTCTTGGCTTCGTGTAGTGAAGTAGTGGGGGTCCCTTTGGGCCGTCTTGGGCCGTCGAAGGGCTTTCTAAGGCCGGTTTCGGACCTACGGGAGACCCTCTTGAGCCGACTCGGGGTCGTCTTAGATGCCTCTTAGGCCATCGTGGAGTCCTCCTGGGCCGTCTTGAGCTGACGGCAGCCCAACATGCGAGAATGCGAAAACCATTCAAGAACCAAAAGGACATCAATGATTTTGGCTTCTTCGAAGCTTGTTGGAGCCCCTGTTGTCGCCCTTTGGGTCCTCTTGGAGGGGGCATTCTGGGCCGCCTTGAAGCAACGATCGGCCGCCTAGGGGCCATCCTGGTCCGTCTTCGCGGCATATTGGGCCATCTTGGTGTGCTTGGTCGCCTGCACGGGCCGTCTTGAAAGCTCGGGACGCGTCTCCATCGTTTTCAACGAGGGATCGTGGCTTGGGAGGCCCTGGAGCGCTTGGGAGCTCCGCCTGGGAATGCGGGAAGTGCACCGCCTTCGAGCGGGTGCGCGCGGGATGAGAGATCCAGAAGCCAGCAGCCATGCGGGAAGTGCTCAATCCTCGAGCGGGCGCGCACGGAATGAGGGTTGAGGCAGGAGCTGCCGTGCGAGAAGGGCACAACTCTCGAGCGGGCACGCAATGAATGGGGGATGAGGCATCAGCTGCCAGGCTGGAAGGGTACCATCCTCGAGCGGGCACGAGGGAAGCGGCCCGGAGAGGAGAGGCGGTGCACGCAGCAGCCTGCGGAGGCCAGGAATAGGGGAGGCCCTTATTAGCAGTCAAAAAACCGTACCAAATAGCCTTTGCCATTCGTCCACGCCCCGGCGTGCCAGGGGGCACGATGGCGGGTTTCAGGCATCATGTGGTCACGGAGTGCGTCCTTCTGGCCAGCTTCCCAGCGGCAGAGTGCAGTTCTGGCTGCGGATCTGAGTTCGACTCTCGGATATACGCGAAGGTTGACACCACGATCACCAGTTTCATGAGCAAGCCCGGCGGCTTGGAGAACAATTTTCCTGGCCAGACCACGTTGCGCATCCATGGGGATTTCTGTGAGGGATACAGCAAGCAGGCATACAGGCTTTTCAGCTACCAGTTCACTCACGGCAGCATGAACCACGTTTTGTCAAACAGCTTCGCCATCCTCTTCTTCGGGTCACCCCTGGAGCTTCTGTCAGGATCCCTGTGGTTGTTCCTGCTCTTCCAGGCAGGCGTGCTCGGCGGAGGGCTATGCACGTGGCTGACCTCCGCGCACACTAACACCGTGGGAGCGTCTGGCGGCAGCTACGCCCTGATCGGCATGCAAATCGGCAATATGGTGCTGAACTGGAGGCAGAAGAGATTCCGGATGCCATTGGCTGCTTTCTTCTTTATCTTTTTGGCGGCCGACATGTTCAATTTCACATACACGAAGTCAAGCACCACCAGCTACTCCACGCACGCTGGCGGACTGATTACAGGCCTCCTCGCCCAGTTGGTCCTCGGCAGGAAGCTCGTCTACTCGAGGAGGGGCGTCGTTATGAGAGGATTTGCAATATTCACTCTCTTCGGCCTGGGGGTACTCTCCTGCGGATGGTACCTGGTCAATCCTTTCCCTGCTGCCCGAGGCGTCTCTGAATTGTTCTACGACCCAGGCTTCATAGGCCCCTGGTGCTGGGTCGCGCAGGCCTGCATCTACCCCGACTACGCCACGGACGGGTCGTGTCCAAGCGCATGGCAGTGCGTCGGGTGCCAGACGAGGAAGTGCGTCGAGGATTGGTACGCTTTCGCCGCGAGCAGCAGCGATCCCCCAGTCTACCTTGTCCAGACGACCTGGCAGACCTGTCGAGACATGGCGAAACTGCTGGTAGGGCCGCCCGCTACCTAGGCGCATAGGGCTCTGCGCGCGTCTTTCTGTTTGCCAAGGGCGACTGCTGCGAGGCACCGCCGCCCCCTGGCGCCACGGCTGAGCGCCGAGGCCAGACATGAGTAGCCAGCAGCGCGTTGGGGATCTTGTTCTGCCGACAGAACTTCACGGACTCCTTCAACCTGCGAGGGCTCTGGCATTACAGTGCAACTCAAGAGATGTGGTGGCCGCTGACGCCATGAGTGAGACGTAAGGCTCTCGCCACCGATAAGCGATGTAAAACTCGCTCGGTTGTGGTTGAATGACAGTTCCCCCAAGTGATGGCTGAACGATTGGGGGGGATGAAGGCTTCCAGCAGTTTAAGAGCCCGCAGTGCGGGAGTCACGGTGGGCCCCCACGGGGAAACTAGCGCGCATATGTTACCATCAGTGGGTGTTCGGGAGTACGGCATCGATGAGAGTCGGTCAGACCATCTTGTTGTCCCTTTGGGTGTGGGACGGTCTTGGAAGCCATCTGAGGGCATCTGGGGACACGAAGTGCGTAAGATGTTCACTGAACTGAGGATCCGCTTCGGCCATCTTGAGGGCCAACCGAGTGCCCTCAGGGGCCCATGGGGCCCAAAGTTCGTGAAATGTGCACCGGATTGACGCTCCTTTGAGTCGTCTTGAGGAGCCGACTGAGTGCCTCTGGGGCCACATTGGGCACGACGTGCGCGACTGGGACCTCCAGGGGCCTCCCAGGACCTCGGGGGGACCACGGGGGGGCCTCCGAAGGCCTCCAGAGATCTCCAGAGGGCCCTCTTGGGGCCTCTGGGAGTTCACCTTGGGGCGCGCGGGATTCATCCTGGGGCCCCTGGGGCCGGCGGATTCTTCTCCACCTTTGGTAGTGCCCTTCGTGCATCGCAGGCTCGGTCCGAGACAGGCTTGTGCACATAGCACGCCCCCTTCGTGCGCTCCAAGATTCTGGCGCAATGGGCGCCAGCAAAGGACTCCTCGGGTTCTGGCCGAGGCTCGGCGTTGTGCCGTGTAGGCCTGGCTCTGTCCTTTATCCACTTGCCAATAAGGCGACCGTGGGGATGGCACCGCCCACCCACTTCTGCTTCTGCGCGCAGCGGCACACTTCCCAACACGCCCCCACATATCCTCCACTGGCCCCTTGAGCCCAGGGCGGAGGAGGGGAGGGTGAGAAGGAGGCCCCGCTGCCCGAGCTATACTACTTAATTCGTTCTGCGATCTGGTCCACTGAGGCAGCCCGTGTGGCTGCCACCGCCGCTGTTTTTCTGGCGAAAGCCCAATATGTTCTCTCTCTCTCTCGCTCTCTCCCGCTCTCTCGCTCTCTCTCTCTCTCTCTATCTGTCCATCTTGCTCTCGTTCTCTTCTCCTCGTCGTCGTCCTCCTCATCCTCAGCTTCCCCCTTCCTCTACACGTGCTTTCATCATCGCCATAATCTTGTAATTATCCAGCTGCCTGCGGCAAGTCTCGCCACCGTGTCATCGCAACACTCTGCGTGGTGACGTTTCGAGCACCGCCGAGGAGGCCGTCACATGTGACACTTATCGCTGTTAGGAGGAGGACGACGACGAGGGGGACGAGGAGGAGTAGGAAGAAGAGGAGGGGGAGGAAGGGGGGAGAAAGAGGAGGAGCAGGAGGAGGTGTATGAGAAGGGGAGGAAGTAGGGGGATGATATCGAGGAAGAGGAAGAGCATGAGGAGGAAGGGCAAGGAGTTTGAGGAGGAAGTGGAGGAAGAAGAGGGCGATGAGCAGGACGAGGAAGGCAGCCACATGTGACAAGGAGGAGGACGACGACAATGCGGAGGAGGAACGCTGTAACATGTGACACTGGTCACTAGGAGCGGGAGGAGGAGGAGGAGGGGGACGAAGAGGCGGAGGAGGAGGAGGAGGAGGAGGAGGAGGAGGAGGGGGAGGGGGAGGGGGAGAAGGAGGAGGAGGAGGAGGAGGAGGAGGAGAGTGAGAAGAAGAAGAAGAAAAAGAGGAAAAAGAGGAGGACCATGAAAAAGGAGGAACATGAGGAAGGAGAGAAACAGATGAGGAGGAGGAGGAGGAGAATGAGGAAGGAGGCCGTTACACGTGACACGCTGTCATCCCCAGAAGGGGAAGGAGGAGGAGGACCAGACGACGACGACGATGGCGACGGCGACGATGACCAAACAGCGACGACGACGACGACGACGGCGACGGCGACGGCGACGACGACGACAATGAAGCGACGATGAAGCGACGAAGACGAAGGAAGACCAGCCGGCCGCAGGTGACCCCGCCAGCCACGCCGCGGCGCCCGATCCGGAAGTTCATCAGCGCGCCCACTACCCCAGGAACTCCCAAGAGCGCCGCGGTCGGCAG